GCGACGTGTTCGTGGCGGGGCTTGCGGCTGGCGACGTCGCCGCGATCGCGAGGCACGTGGCGTCGCATGGCCGTGTGCGTGTGCTCGTTGCGTTCTCCGAGTTTGCGCTGCTGCACGCCGACTTCGTCGCTGCTTTCGATGGCGGTGCGGGTGCCGACCGCATTGTGTTTGCGACGAGCCTGCCGCACTGGAACGACATGAAGTCGACGTCGGAGACCACCCAAGATTTCATCCGCAGTGTGCCCAACGCCGCGGAACGGACGCCGCTGTCACTGAGGGCTTTCGCTGCCACGCGGCTGCTGCAGACTGTTCTCTCGCGCATGCACAAGGTGACTGCTGGGCTACTGGCTGACTTCTTCTACAACAACGTGGCAATCACCGTGAAGGGCATGCTGTACGGACCCTTCACTGACGGCACGGCGTGTGACGCAGATGACGGTGCTGGGTGCGGTAAGAACTACGGGTCGACGCGCATTTCTGTGTGGTCGCTTGCCCGTGCGCTGGACCCCGCCGTGCCCGTGCTGTTTCCCGCTGTGACCCCGTCGATGGAGTACACGGAGCCCGGTAGCTGGCTGACGATGGCGCAGCTGATCGGCATCATCGTCGGCGTGATGCTGCTGCTCATCATCATTGCGGCTGTGGTGGTTGTGGTGCTGCATTTCTGCCGCGACTCGCGTAACAACGCGAATGCGCCGAAGGAGCCGACAGACCCCGTGACGCTTGTGTTCACCGACATCGAGAGCAGCACGGCGCTGTGGTCCGCGTGTTCCGAGGTGATGCCCGACGCCGTAGCGACGCACCACCGTCTGATCCGCGTGCTGATCGCGAAGTACGGCTGCTACGAGGTGAAGACGATCGGCGACTCGTTCATGATAGCGTGCAAGAGTGTGTTCGCCGCCGTGCAGCTTGTGCGTGAGCTGCAGCAGGTGTTTCTGCAGCACGAGTGGGGGACGACTGCGCTCGACGCCGCGTACCGAAAGTTCGAGGAGGGCCGGGCGGAGGAGACGGAGGGGTACGTGCCGCCGACAGCGCGCCTGGACGCCGCTGTGTACCGGCAGCACTGGAACGGTCTGCGGGTGCGTGTGGGGGTGCACACCGGGCTGTGCGACATCCGGCGCGACGAGGTGACGAAGAGGTACGACTACTACGGCGACGCGGCGAACATGGCGGCACGCACGGAGAGCGCGGGAAACGGCGGGCAAGTGCTGCTGACGCGTGCGGCGTACATGGCTCTGAGCACGGCAGAGCGGGAGGAGGTGGATGTGACTGCGTTGGGCGCGGTGGCGCTGCGCGGGGTGCCGCGGCCCGTGGAGATGTACCAGGTGGACGCTGTGCCCGGGCGCACTTTTGCGGCGCTGCGGGTTGATACAGGTGAGGAAGCGGATCTTGACACCGGTGTGTGCGATAGCATTGCCTCTGGCTTCACTCGCAACACCTATTATGATACCTCCGTTTTGTTTCTTTCGTGCTTGGTGAGTCCGTATGCCCTTCGCCAGCGTGCTAGCCTTCTTGAGTCTCTTTGCACGAAGTGGCGCGTGCGGGGGGTCGAGCGGGGGGCAATGTCCTGCGACGAGTACTGCGCTGCACTGGTGGATGCGCTTGCGAGTCGTGTGGGGCGTGTGTTCGGTTGTCGTATGGAATCATCTGCATCCGTTTCTTTTTTGCGGTCTGCTGCTTTGTCAACGGGATCGATGCGTGCGCCGAGGGGGTGGCAGAGTTCCACTTCCGTTTTGTGGTGTGCGCCGCCTCCCGTCGCTGAGCGCCAATCCATTGCGCTCCCCACCGGTTGTGCGGCTCGGGCACCGCGGGAGTTGTGTGTGGGCCCCGCCGGTATGCGTCCGGCTATGGTGCGAGGGATCGGGCGGGGGGTGCGTATCTTTTCTGACTCCTCAGATGAAAACTTTGTGTGCTCACGCCCACCGCACGTGTGAGGCACATGAATTCGGTGTGACTTGCCGGTCGCCCCTCTTTGCTCCGTGGGCGTGTTTGCGTCTTCCCTCTCGTGACGGGCCACCTTCACCGGGTTCGGTTCATCCCTCACGTTCTTTGCACGACGTGAAGGCACGTGTTTTTTTTTTTATGGGTGTTGCGGTGGCAGTCTAAATCGGTGTTGCAGGTTGCGTTTATGTGCGCCACCGCGTCGATATATCAATGCGTCTCTCTCTCTCTCTCTCTCTCTCTCTGCGTGTGTGCGCTACCGTGCCGCGAGCGCCCCCTGTTTGTACGTTGCGGGAGGGCGCAGCAAGGGCGTTGGTTGTGTTTTCAGTTTTGTTGTTTGCTTGTTTTTTGCCTGGCCACACGTCGTGTTTGCCAGAGTGGGGTCTTGTTTGCCGCCGGTCTTTGTGCCTCCCCTGTGCGACCCATTTTGGTCTTTTTTTTTTGCTCTGTGTTTACTCCTTTGACTCGTTTTTTTTATGGACGTTTTTCTGGGCGCCGAGTGTTTTCCTCCGTGCCTCGTTTTTTACTGCGCTCACCCCGCCGCCGTCGGGGGGTGGCCAGGCGACGTGCTCGTGCACACAGTTGCAGCCAGTGCGCCCCTATTGCCCTCACCGCGGCGGCGCCTGCGGCTGCATGCGTCTGTGTGTGTATTGCAGCGGTGTGCGGCCCTTCAGTTGCGTGTCTTTTCTTTTGTTCTTGCTTTGACTCTTCCGTTTCTTCCCGCAGTGGCGAAATGTGGCGGTGGATCTGAGGTGCGCTACGGCTGCCTGGCGCCAGCAGCGTGCTTTTGGGCGTTGCCCACGCAATTGTTGAAACGAGGGGTGTCAGTCTCAGGGCTGCACTGCTGTAGGGGTGTGGCGGCGGTACTGCAGGCGACGCACCTGCAGCGGCGCGGCCCTGGCGGTTATGTACGCTGCGGGGGTCCCGTATGCGGCGGTCATCAGGTGCAGTGTGCCGCGCACATTGGAGGAGAGGTGATTGCGTCCGGCTTTTGTCGCGTGCGTTATGTGCGCCGCAGGGGCCTGTCGCGACGATGGTGGCTTTTGCTGTCGCGTCCACACCGCGGGGTATTGGGATGCTTTTGTTGTGCGCGGGTGAGCACCATGTGCGGGTGTGGTCTTTTTCTGGTGGTTGTGCGGCGGCGTTGCCCACTCCTTGCTGTCGGCGGTTGGTGCGTGGCTGGTGGTGCCTACCGCCGTCTCCATCGTTTGCCAGTTTGCTCGTCTGTGCCCACCGCCCGCGTGTGTGCTGCTGCAGTGCACGGCAACTGCCTGCGCCTGCGCCTAGCAGCTGCGTTGGTGCGTTTCCTACATGACCATTGACGAGGCCCTGGGCGGCCTTGCCGTGGTGCCAGGGCTCGGTGCTTTGCGGAGGGGGAAACCAGTAGCCGTAAGTTGGTGCCTTCGACTTGTTGTTGGTTGATGGTGGCGGCGGCCGGGCTTTGCGTGGCACCATGCCCAGGAGGCCCGGGAGAATTGTGATGGATTTCCCACCCAACAACTGCAGATACCGAGGTGTAGCGACATCTCTCGCACTGAGGATTCATCAGTGACGGCTTTTTTGGCCGTGCGGGGTGTGGAGTTGAACCTGGGTCCCGTCTTGTGTGTCACCCAGTGTAACGCTGGCGGGCGCAAGCAGGAGAAGCGGATCTTCCTGGAGGTGGGGATGGAGGAGGGGCAGGCTTGGGCACGCGTTCCGTTTGAGGATACCCATTTTACTGTGAACGAGTGCGAGTGTTTTTGTTTACGTGCCTGGAGTCACTGGGTAGGAAGCTGTAAGGGTGGCTT